TAAAGTACTGTATCTGATCAGTATATGAATTTTGATGGTCATGTGAGGTCTATTAGTCAATCCCACTTCTTTCATTTGAGAAATCTATACAAGTTGAGATCATTTGTTTCTAGGCCGTAAATGCTTATACATTTCTAGTTGGATTATATTATGGTGTTGTGAATATACGCAGAGTCAAGGCAGAAAGTCTCACTCAAAAATATTTACTTTCCTTTTCAAAATAAAGTAGAATACATGCTCCCAGCTTGGCACTATACTCGCCACTCACTGCTCCAACGCCAACTCCGAAAGCAACGCACTCCGCTGCTGCGCTGCCCCATCTCACCTTGCACTCCTTCCCCAATCCCAATCAAGTAGACCCTCTTCCCCATCAACACAACATAGCCAAATTAAACTCTTACACATGCTTTTATTTCATCATGCTTGAATTACTGTAACTCTTTCTGTACCTGTGTCTAAATCTGTGGTCTTATTTATCAACCGTGCCTGCAAACCATTTTGTGCCTAAACCTGCATATATTTCAGAACACTCCAGACCATGCGTATGTACAAACCCCTAGCGGCAGAGAAGTGGAACTGAAGCCAACTTAATTATTAGCCTTGATAGATTGACAAATAGAATGATCTAGTGATGTTCACTCATGCTTATGCTGATGAGAAGGAATTGTTCCAAAGTCATATAAGGTCCATGGACACAGAAATAATATATCACTGTCACTAAATAGCCTTATGTAGAGATACACTTAATTGAATCATGTCCGATTGCATTAATATCCAAGGTCCATAGTAGATAATATAAACAGACTGATGTCTGAAAGCGCATAGTAGGACATTAGCAAGTGTTTTGCTTAGTGTAACACGTGCAGAATGAGCAGTGCTGCCAGGCATATCATGACCATTTAAATGACACCAGCAACCATTTAAATAATCTGTCAAAGTCACCCATCAAACTCAGTTGGCAGACTTTAAACAAAACATAACATCTGATTGGTTACATTGCAAACTAAGTCACAATAGATCAATCTCACCTAGTTGATTGAATTCTCATTTATAACTGCATTTTGTCTGTTCCAGCCAAGAGCAGCATTACAGAAACTGCCAAACTTGCAGTTCCTATCTTAAGTGTTTGGTAACAGTAGTAACTAGGCTTAGAATCTGATTTAAGAAAAAAGTTATTACACATAAACAGTTACTAAATTATTGTTCCTATCCTAACGTAAGACAGGAAATGTGTATTACACAAACTTCCTAACTTCCAAAAAACTCGAATAAACTTTCTTAACTTTAGGATAACTACACAGCCCCGCTCATGCAGAGGCGAAAAATGAGGAGCCATTTTTTAAGTGGAGAACAATGCCCTTTTATTAAGTCCTTAAAAAGACTGCACTGAGCAGCAGGGGACCACTGGGAGACCTGGGCTGCTAGTGAACGCTGGGCAGCCAGCAGGCTCTGGTGGGTCGGGTCCCCCCGGGCCCCAGCCGTCTGTGATTTTGTGGGGACTTGTTAATGACCACCAGGCTGATCCTCTTGCCTGGCTTCCTACTTCACATCTTATCATTATTTTTGCAATACATATTGTCCTTATGAAACAATGTGTAGAGGTACACAATAAATATCAGTTAACATACCAATACTGACAGCCAGCATTTAGAGATGGGGACTCGCGTTATTTTAACTTTTTAACATGGAGTTTGCAGTGTTACTTGCATAACCATTTATTTAATTGCACACACACACTGAGAGACAAATCGATCTTATCCATTAGTTGGAGATTTTGCTTTAGAACAATGTGTAAAAATGAAATTTGTAATTTACTGTAAACATGCATTTACTTTAGCAGCACGACAAATGGGGTCTTGGTTATATTCATTCATTAGCCATTCACATCACTTTAACGTAGCTGAGGGGGGAGTCTGCCATGGTTTGGTCTGGCCCAAGAGCAGGGCCAATCTGACATGCTTTCGGCGCAGCAATTTGTGCATTCATGTACAGTGCAGCTCAGGAATTTGTCAAAATTTCCTGCAAGGGATGTCTTCATCATAATGTTATTTTTGTGAAAGTATTAGTTTTAAAATCTACATTAGAAAAGTGCTTTGGTTCTTACAAAATTTTTATTGCTTCAAAAGCATTTGAAATAGTGATTACTTTAAAAATGTTTATAAGTCTAAGGAACTATGAGACATGCAGTTTCTGAACTGTTCGAGTGGTGATTCTCATTTAGTCGCAGTTACTAATAGAAAAAAATACAAATTGGTGGTTAAATTTTTGATAGTCATGTCAAATTGGAACATAACAGAGACTTGAGACTTGAATCGGACTCTAATTTTGTGACGCTTTATCAATATTGAAAGTTACCAGCACCAAAGCTAAAGACATACTGTAACTACTGCAATAATGGAGATGACTGCAAGAAATGCTAAACATAAACTTAAACTTAGCTGTTCTTTATAATAAGAAGTGTTTGTGTGTGCGTGGGGGGTACAATGAGGTAAAATGCTACAGGTGCCCCTGTACTGAGCTGCCCTGTTTACTTAACTCCCTTATAATAACCTGATAAATGATAACCTACAGTATAGCCAGTACCCAGAGGCAGCCATTCTGTTTTCTTAATAAATGACATGCAATATTGGATGATTTCAAATGTAACTGCATGCATTTTAAGTTCCATTTATCCCCAGATGCTTCTACCAGTAATTTATACCATTTACTGAAATAAGACGGATTTAGAAGTTGCAGGCTCTATGAGCGACTCATGTTATGTCATGTGGTGACAGATAAGTCTTGAGGAAGGACATGAGTTCAGTTATTTTGTCCAGGAAGTGGTCACATTCCTCTGCTTCTGAATGATAATTTTATAAAAGCAAGTCACTGTTTGTAAGGTTTTTAAGGGAGGGGTATAATTGGTCACCCTGTCTAAATTAATTTAGCCTTACTGAACTACAGAGGACGGTGATTGTTACTGTTGCAGTGTGCGATTCCCTACGAGTGAGTCTTTTCAGCTCTCAATGTGTTTGCATGGTGTCGCTTGTCTGAACAGTATGGGTGCTGGTTTGGTATGACAGTTTTGGTTTGTCAGCAGTAAAATTTTCTGACCAGGTGGGGCAGAGTTGTGGCAGAAATAAATTTACCACCACTGAATAGCAGAGGGACAGGTTTGCTGGACATTGTACATCATTCACAGGTGTCAGGGAGCTGGTGTAAAATTACAGGACACTTGTGGAACTTCTAGGAGAGGTGGGATGTCTGCCAAAGGCTAGGGACACCTGTGTGATTGTAGCCAAAGGCTTGTTGGGACCTGTCTGATTGTAGCCAAAGGCTTGTTGGCACCTGTCTGATTGTAGCCAAAGGTTTGTTAGCACCTGTCTGATTGTAGCCAAAGGCTTATTGGGACCTGTCTGATTGTAGCCAAAGGTTTGTTATCACCTGTCTGATTGTAGCCAAAGGCTAGAGACACCTGTCTGATTGTAGCCAAAGGCTTGTTGGGACTTGTCTGATTGTAGCCAAAGGCTAGGGACACCTGTCTGATTGTAGCCAAAGGCTTGTTGGGACCTGATTGTAGCCAAAGGTTTGTTAGCACCTGTCTGATTGTAGCCAAAGGCTTGTTGGGACCTGTCTGATTGTAGCCAAAGGCTAGGGACACCTGTCTGATTGTAGCCAAAGGCATGTTTGGACCTGTCTGATTGTAACCAAAGGTTTGTTAGCACCTGTCTGATTGTAGCCAAAGGCTTGTTGGGACCTGTCTGATTGTAGCCAAAGGCTTGTTGGTACATCAGTGAAAAGGTGGCATGTGTGAGAAGAAGGCATGTTGCAGTATGTGGTTGTGTGGGTCTGAACTCTTTGCCTGTGATCAGAAGGTAACCAGTTGAAATCCCATAATTTGAACATAATTTTATAGTCGGGGCCTTGAGTGAGGTCCCTAACACTAATTTCTCCCAGTTTTGACTGGTCCTGTTTTGCGTAAAGCATACTGTATACCATGTAAATGAATGTAAAGGAATGTGCCATATTTGAGCAAATCCAGAGGTCAGTGGGTTTGTGTCCCATGTACGAAGGTGTGATCTTTTTTATTTTTAAAGGGTTACTGTGGCCTTGTATTTAAAATTCAAACCCTTGCAAGTTTTGCAGTTCTGATAGTTTTAATGAAATTATACCCCGAAATCCTGCTTTCCTTAACCATTCAATCTGGTGGTGAGTATGTTTTGGGGCCAATATGGGGCACAAGGCTGGGGTACAGCTTGGACACGGTCCCATGTTTTCTCAGTGCAGAAGAGTTTAAAAATTCAAAATTGCCGCATGTGCTGGATCTTGAGGGCTCTGTATAGTCACTAAGACTGAAAAAGCGAAGGGAGCCTGGCTGCTCTGTGAGTAGTGCTTTGTCTATACCCCAGCATGTTGGTTTATTCCCAGCTTACTGTATGGGAATTGCATGTTCTTTCTCAGTTTGTGTAGCTTTCCTACAATAGTCTCTTAAAGTGTGAGAGTAGTTTGTAATGGTATAGGGCCATTGTGGAAATATGAGTCAAATTTTATAGTAGAATTTTAAGGTGGTATGAGATGAATTTTTAAACAACACAACTTTTTGTAATGTAGATAAATATAGTAATATAGAAGTGATGTGTGTGGCCTGCAGTGGGTTGGTGTCCCATTGTGGGTCATTTCCTGCTTTGCGTCTACAGCTTCCAGCTCTGGACTCCTACTTCCTTGCATAGTACATGGATGGGTGGATGGATGGATGAATGGATGGATAATAATTTAGATTAATAATGTACATTGTAGCTATACTGTTACAATAACTATAGCTATTTGTAGATGAGCTGGAGATACACTGGCAAGTAGTTTAGGTCAGTTTACAGTAGTCCAGATGAAATAATCTGGGGGTTTCGGCCAGTGTGTTTCTGACTGGCTGCTTTCCCATGACTTTTCTGCAGTGTGTTTCTAACTGTCTACTTTCATGTGACTGTTGTTAGGAGTGAAAGTTGTCCTGCCCCTCTCTTAGTAACCACTCCCACATAACACATAAATAGACCTGAGGCACTCAGCTGCTGCAAAGTCCTCTGTCTGGTCAGAAATAAATGCAGCTAAATTTAAAGTGACATTTGTATCTTTCTGCGGTGCCACTGAGAGATCCAGGTCCAAGGTGCTTCCTGGAAGATTAACATTTAGACTGAGGAAGGGTTTTATTTTTGGCAGCAGAAACTTGTGAACTTAAGATATGTAACAGAACTGCACCGATCAGTGAGTGCGACTGGTTAAGTAGAGACAATCTAAATTATCAATATCGCAGCAATACTGTGGGCTCATGAAACACCCCAACAAGCCTACAAAAAAACCATCTCCAGAACCTTCTGGATAACAGGGATTAGCCTGGTGCCATGCTTTATGCAAGTTGTGGCCTAGAGAACTGAAGCTGACAACAGACGACAGATGCCTAGTTTTCACATTTAAATTGAACTTACAGTCATTGTACAGTATTATAGCATAAAAAATAATAAACCCATCCTTAAATATTTCAGATCAGTCAAATAATTTTGTAAATAAAAATGGAATTCAAATTTGACAGTAAAATGTTCCTAGCTAGTTTATGGCCTGTGACATATAATGAAACATGACGATACACCAGGCCACATGGTTGCTAAAAGCTAAAAGGCCCGCCTCCTATGGCCAGATGTGTGTTCAGATTGGCCTGGCCCAGCAGTGCCCCACACCACATAAAGTGTAATGAGAGCTTGGGCCGCAGACAGAAATAGTGCATCCCAAAGGACTCCTCAACGTCGCCTGTCTGGCTTGCTTTGCCGTGCTGGGTGCTCTGGGCACCGGGCCCTATTTCCAACATGGCTGGGCTTCTCTGCAGAACCAAGCGAAAGAAACAAGGTAGGCAGGGCTGTGTGTATGGCTCTCTAACCCTTCATTTCAGAGAGCTGCCACCAGTAACGGCCAGAGAGGACATTTCCCACTCACTGTATATCATAAAATAAATTTAGAATTTGTTTGTCCAGCTCCAGTGTACGTTCCAGCTAGAGACAGGTTCACTTCCTCGATTAGTCTAGAAAACAGTGTGGTTATATGCTAATGGCCACATGACATGTTTGACTATTAATCCTTAATTTACAAACCACAATAATGTAATAAACTTGTCTTTGTTCTTGTGTTCATTAACCATCCTTCTCCTGATAGATATAAACGTGGGTCAATCAATTATTTGGGTGGTTTTCGGCTGTCAGCCCAGTACTCTGTGAGCATGTTACCAATTATAGATGAAACTGACTTTCTGATTATTTGTTTTGCTAATTTACTTTGGTGGACAATTAATCATTGCTTTCTTTAGTGTTATTTATTCTCCCAGGGTTTCTTTGCCTCATTTAGCTCCTCCTCTTCATAAGAAACATCAGGACTCATGAGGGCTAAGAGGAGAGTCCATTACCATCGAGGCAAAATGTGTCTGTATGCAGGTGGAAATAAAAAAATGATTTTGAGGATAAGCATTGTGTTTATATTAGTGCTGTCAAACAATTAAAATTTTTAATCAGATTAATCACAGGGTTGCTGTGGATTAATTTAGATTAATCACGATTAAATATCATTCATTTTTAATCTATATTAATCACAATTCATTTTGCATGAGCAAAC